GGCCGCTATTGCGACTGCCACTGCCACCATTACCACCGCCGCCACCACCACCGCCGCCGCCGCCGCCGCCGCCGCCACCACCACCACCACCACGACGACGACGACGACGACGACGACGACGACTCCTACTCCTACTCCTACTACTACTACTACTACTACTACTCCTGCTGCTGCTGCTGCTGCTGCTGCTACTGCTACTACTACTACTACTACTAGTAGTACCGCTGCAGCCGATGCACTCGGACCACCAACGTTACTATGGCTAGGGCATAGATGCTCTGGAAAAGATATACGCACTTGGAACACGAACGTTCTTCTGGTTTTGGCATGAATGCTCCGGTCATCGCACTCACTCAAAGACGAACGCTATCATGGTTTGGGCATGAATGCCGAGCTATCGTGCGCGTTAATAGAGAATATCATGCATTGAGCATGAATGATAGTGTCATCGAACTCATGTAAGCACGAACGTTAATGTGGCATACTATGGTTTGGGCATGGGTGCTCCGGCCATCGTACTCATTAAAACAAAAACGTTATCATGCGCTGAGCATGAATGCTTTGGTCATCAGACTCATGGAAATCATTTACAGGGCGAACGTTATTATTATGGTCTAGGCATGGATGCTCTAGCCAGCGTATGCGCTCGGAGCACGAACATTGTTATGAGTTTGGCATGAATGCGCTGGTCATCGAACTCATTCATCGACGGGCGCCCTTATGGTTTGGGCATGGGGCCTGTAGCAAGCGCAGGCATTCGCAACACAAATATTCTGTCCTCAGCATGGATGATCGCGGAAGCTTAAGTTGGGCAGCCAAAGTGGCTAAGAATTCGCAACGCAGAATTTCGACAAAAACACTGAAGTGCAAGGCGTTCGCACGCAGCTGAAAATCCAGACGCTCCTCTTCAAAGTAAAAACTCCAAAACAAACGCAGGAAACAACGCACCAAGTGACATCTGAAAGTGCTCACGACAATTTCCTGAAATTAACTTCAAGCAGAAAATCCAAGGCAGACCAAAGTCTCGTGACAAGACAGGATATCTCAAAAATAATGTTTCTATTCTACATTGCAAAACACAGTGCACGCAGAAGCGTGCCTAAACCCTGAAATGCTGAAAAAGCTTGCCGTCGGTAGCTACTTCTAGTATTAGAAGAGCAACAGTAGCAGCGGCGGTACAGCGGTGCCGCAGTAGTAGCAGAAGCAGCAGGTGTAGCAGTACTAGCATGTGCTAGCAGTAGCACTGGGAGGGGCAGGAGCAGGCAGGGGCAGGGGCGGGCCTCACTGTTGCAGGATGTCTAGCGGTATCCATGTAAGGGGTCTAACACTATCACAACTGAAGTAAGTAGCGGTGGTAGACTGAGTTGTGCATGCAGGCTTGAACGAAGGTGATCCCTGTAGTCTGAAGCACAAAGTAAAAAGGCAGCTGTACTTTAGGTCGCGTATTGTTTTTTGTTCAGTGTTGCTGCCCCCGCTGTTCTGCAAGGCATGATTCACTACGACGTCAAAAGCGAGAACTTGATGTTGGGTCAGGAACTTGGGCACTTGCCTTCCTTGTCGGAAGGACGTACATGTTGCCGAAAGGTGCTGATGGCTTGTGGAAGCTGGGCGACTTCGGGTCGGCGAGTGTGCTGCCCAGCAGTAGTTCTGATTTCTGAGCCTTGTATGCCTCCTGGAACAGATTGCTTGGGATACTGGTTCCCGCAGGGACCATGCTTTTGCAGATTGTTTCAGCATTGGTACGGATTCCCCATGTCCACCTTCAGATGGGCCAATGCCGGCTATGATGGAAGAGAAACTGCAAGAGAGCTCGCGTAGCCTCTGGCCTGTCGGATGCAGGCACGTCTAGGTTGTCTTGCCTGTGCAGTCTGCATACTTCGTAGGCTTCATATAACAAACAGGACATTCCTGCAGAGAACTTTGTACAGGCCAAAGATGTCGCGTAGTCCGCGTAGGTAACTGGATGACAATGGAAAACGGTATTCCGCGTAGCTCGCGTCGGCTCCCTATGCTACTACAAGGATTTTTAACATAAACAAGCAATGCTCAGATGCTGCATAACTGTTGCTCTCGTTCATGTCCAGCGATACAGGTGACTCTGGGATGTGTAGTCTTGAAGCATTGCACGGTGCACTCAGGTGAACGAACGTTCGACTTCTCTGGAGCACCTCGGAAGCTGGTCTTGGAGGCTGCCCAAAAGGGTGTCACTTTCCATCATCCTCCGGTGGGATGTGCAGATGGATGGTCTTCATGTGCCGAAATCCGTGCAGCAAGCAAGCATGTTTGCAGAAGTGCTCGAATGAAGAATGTGATCCGTACTGATCCTGTAACTTGCATCTCTAACCAAGAGAAAGGAGTCAACGGTTCCATAAAAAAATGCGCAGGAACCTGTACCGTAGTCTCTGAAGCCAGCCGAAAAACCTTGACGGAAGCAGCCGCGGAAGCCGGAAGCACAAAATACTACAAGCGCTACTCCCAGAAGTTATGTGGAAGGCCTTCGCAGAAGGTGTAGCCTCTGTGATAGAATTTGAAAGAATAAAAACCACCGCTCAAGTGAGTCTCTGTGCTGGTCGTCTCCATCTGCCGAGCCAAGCCAAGCTGCAAGGGCAAAAGTTCAAGCAGCCCAAGGCGGAGGAGTTTGTGCATGGCCGGTGCACATCCATTTACCGGGCACCGGAGGCCAGGGCCCTGATACAACCAAATAGATCCGTTCAGGCTGTGGGTATTGGTTCACCCCACATGCAAGGAAATAGCCATACAGCCACTTGTCTCTGTTCAGGCTCGATGATGTTGCCGAGTGCAAGGGGCCCTTAGGGATTTGTCCAAACAAGATTGGGTGTTTCTGGCATGCTGATTTCCACGCAAGGCGGGAGGGCAACCTTTGTTGAAGCATGTCAAGTATTGGCTGGGGAAAGCATCAGAAGGCCGAGGTCGGTGAAAAGGCGATTTCTTTCTCAGCTACTTACACAACTAGAGTAAGTAGAGCGGCACGAGTGCTACAGTAGGGTTTGCATACGACCGGGATGGAGAAAAAGAAACATGAATGGCCAGTCGGCCAGTCCGCAGTTTGGCGCTGACAGGTGGCCGACGTCCATCTAAGATGGCCGATTGGTAGTCGCCCTATGATTGTGGATTGAAAGGAAGCCGAGTGAGGGTTCATAGGCGTCGGCAGAGGGTGAGAGCATAGTATAGATGCAGGCAGTAGCTGGATGCAAGCTCCACAAACGCATGTTGTTTGGGCGTTAAGGCCCAAAGGCAGATGTTTTCGCACTTGGTGGGCACCTCAGTGGCTCGGAGCGAGAGCTTGATGATACCACTGCCCAGTAGCAGCTGGCATCCGAACAGGATTCTATACGGGTTATATGGGGAGATGCAGGGTTACATACAGGTATATCAGTGCATGGGGCAGATTTTCTGGAAGTGCAGAAAGAAGTCTTGTCCCTTGAGTCAGTCATCACATGTAAGGATGTGAAGTCCTTGTCAGAAAGCATCAAAAGGTTCACACAGATTGCAGGTATAAACTACCCTATAATCCCAGTTTCCATTTCATTCTCCATGTTCTTTTCTATTTGATGCTCCGTTATACCCCTAAACCCTAAACCCTACAGGACCTATGTATCCTTTTGTTTAACCCCTGTATAACCCCAATAGTTGTTGGATTTGTCCCGGACTTCCCAGGCTGCGTCCTATACGCTTGCCTTGCCGGCGTGCACCCTTTCCCCATGGATTCTCTGCTCGCCAACATCCAGGCGGGCTGAGATTATAGTCCCATTAGTCCTCCTCAAGTAGATAGAATATGGCTTTGGGGAAAATTAAATATTATAATATGATCCCCATATGCCCCATATTCCATCTACTTAACGGGGAGTATACGCAAAACAAAATTCGCCGCTAGCAGGATCCTGTTGCAATTTGAGCACTTACAATTCTTGTCATGTCCGATTATCATCGCCGGAGCTTCTGCTTCTTCAAGGCGCGCTTCCACCTCCCCGCTGCAGCGGAAACCGTACCCAGCCAAGATTCCATGAACTTCTTAGCAGGGAATGCGGGAATAGAATCCCTATGTAAACCCCATATAGTATACTGCCTTATACCTCACTAAGAACCAGCTAGGGAAGCTTTGGAGCAGAGCAATGATGGTTTTGATCCGTATCGTAGGGGATAAGGGTTATTTGGGGCTCCCCCATAATGGAGAATCAAACGGAAAACAAGATGGGACATGAAGCGAAAACTGGGATTGCATTACATGTAGGCTTGGAAATGCATCGCTGCTGAAGAACTCACAGACAGCGTAGATTGCATGAACAGATGTCTGCAGCCGAGCCAGCAGTGCATTCTGCTAAGGCGTATTCTGCAGACGTCATCAGGCCCGGAGAACCTTTGGATGATGGAAATACGGTATCACTTAGATTCGACTCAGGTGGCTGCACGGTTCTTTGCGCCGGGCTCCTGAGGAGCGCCCGGCGGCAGCGGTCATTGCTGCCGAGGCGAGCTCAGGAACCTGCTGCTGTAGGAGGAAGTGAGAGAAGCTCGAGGAAGAGTGACTGTGATGACCGTACGATACCGTGCGGTTTGCAGTTGCCAGAAGAAAGATTTGGCACCAGAACCCAGCACGGTGTAATGGTGCAAAGGCCATTCATTTGCCCGGGCAGGTTGCAGAGTTTGTCTCAACTGGACGCGTGACATCCAGGGAGCCAGCAAAGGAGGCCAAAACACGGCTGCATCGAAGTTTTGCTGTAGCAGCGGCCATAACCAGGTAACCTTATCTTTCCATGTTCTTTCCTGTCTGGGCCATGAGCCAGGATGAGGCACCTCCGTCAGTGGAGCCTGAGTGGGTTAGGAACCTGGTCGAGGAGCTTGTTGGGGCGTGTGGCTGCCTATGTGGGCGGAGAGGACACATCCAATTGGCGTCCACAACAACACAGGCACATCGACATGCCCCTATTTCAAGGTTGCCGACTTTTCGCACATGCCTCCCGTTGCTGGTCATGAAGCAGACGCAGAGGCGCTTGTACCATTGGCTAACTTTGAGTTTTTGCAGGCTGGCTCCTTACTTCTCATTTCCAAGCAGCTGTGATTCTAGACAACAGTCTTGGCAGCACCCCACTGAAGAGTGTAAAGGGGGCTGTTACGCGGCAGGTTCAGAATCCAGAGAGGTATGAAGGGGGCACGAGAAGCCAGAGCAATCATCCTGTGATACAAACATTGTGAGTTTGGCTTTCTCATCCCCGCAGCCCTAAGAAATATTGTACGAGGATGAGACATTCGGATGGTTGCTGAAATTTTTGCTCTACAACTCAGCATGCCGCCGCAGGCTCTGAGCATTGCAGCCGCGACCGACAAGGCGGTCGCCGACACCACGCATCTGGGCAGCAAAGTTGGTGCTGGACAGCAGAGGTTTCAGATGATGACACCTTGGCCAAAGAAACACATGCACTTGCTACCCGATTTGGGAGGCCAACAGTAGCTAGACACCAACCTCACGCAGGGCCTCGGTCACAGTGGACGTGCCTGCAGAGCTGGAGCAAGGCCCTGGGTAGAGACGAAGTGATCCTACAGTCGCGCATCAACATGTTGGAGCTGTCTCCGTGCTGTTCGTCCTTTCAAGCCAATGTGCTGTGAGAGCCACAGGCTGAGAACTAAGTGCAGATTTGCTATCCGGCTGTGCTCTACATAACAAACTTCTTTCCCAAAATGCCTTTTCTGACGGTGAGCTTAATGCAGATTTGGTATCCGGCTGTGTTCTACATGACAAACTTATTTCCCAAAATGCCTTTTCTGACGGTGAGCTTAGCCTCATGCCACCCTTGACCTCACATAGGAACGTCAATGGGCGAGACTTTATTCTCCAAGACATTTCACAACCTAATCCACACTGCAGCTCGCCATGGGTTGTCATGGCGCTCTTCAACCGCCCCATGGGGGCCCACGTGCCGCAGACCAGGGACTTGGACTGCGAGGGCGCCATTGCCAGGTAAGGAATCTGGTGGGTCTGAGTTTGGGCACAGTTGTTGCAGCATCAGTATGGGAAGAGATCCAGGCTTGATCTAACCACTTGGCCATGCACAACTGAGCCGCAGACTGACACCAAACAAGTTCCTTCACTGCCTCAGGCAATGTAGCCTCCCCATCCCAGATGTCAGGGCTCAGAAGCGTCGGCCCCGATTGAAAGACAGCGCTGCCCCGCCACTTGGTGAGCTCTGATAGTTGACTGGCTTGTGAAGGTTCAGATATCAGGATGGGTGCTGCTGTTGAATTTCTGGGTGTGGCCCTCTCACACCCTGCCCCTCAGTTACACCCGAAAGGATCTCCGTTGTCATTCAGGGGATAGTAGAGGGCAAGCTGGTTTCTGTAGCTTCGATTCAGGCTGCCGCCGGCGCTGGGCGGAGCTGGGAGCTGCGTTCACCTCGCAGCGGCGCTGTGCTGGGTCCTCAAGTCCTCAGGGTCGTTTTTGAGGGATGGCTTGCAAACTAGGGCATCCTGCATTCTCATCCTGCGCTTTCTGAACAGCCAGTCCAAAGAAGCCAAGGCCCGCATGATGACTTCAGTCTCTTTGAAGCAGTCAAGAAGGATATCGAGGCGGCACGCCATTCCACTTGTGTTTTGTTCGTTTGGGCGAAACCTTTAAGATCTTAACTCGGCATTCCTTTGGTCCAGCTGGACTGGACCCTCACCTGAAAGTCTGAGAGCACAGCGGAACCTCACAACAAGATTAGGCATCAAGATCTCATGGGGATCCCTTCCCTTGTGCTAGGCCGCAAGCTACCAGCGTCCTGGAGATGCACTCGGCTTCCACAGGACCGATCGTTGGACGTCAGGGACTTTTGGAGGTTAGCAGGGCTTTGCTTTGCTTGAGCTGTTTGGAACGGATTCGCAATGCATTCCCATGCTAGGAGTCGGAAGCACCTTCAGATTTGGGGCGATTCTTTGCCCCGCGCTTACAGTGCATCGTCCCTGGTTCCTTCTTGCCGCCTTTTTCTGGGTTCCGATTGCGTAAAGCATTCTTTCAGCCAACGCTGGCGGTCCGTTTGTTTCCTTGCTTTCCTTATCCAGGTCTGGATCACGAGCGTTTGCCTCAGTGAACCTACGCCTGCAAAGTACTCCTGCTGCTCAAAGACCGAGTTGACCAATTACGTGAAGAGTCCAGCATTTGCATCTTTGATGTTTTTTGTGCGTCGCCCAGATTCAAAGAAGACAAAAATCTGGATCTTTAAGTATCCCGCTGAGGATCACGCGTGCGCTGGCAATGTTTGACTTGACCCTGGTGGACTGCTGGGCTAATCTGTACAGATCTGCCGCCCAGCGGCATCCGTCTAGAAACCTGCCCTCGTCAACATCAAGAAATTCCCACGGCTCTTTCCAGGGATGACCTGCTAAAAGTCGCGGTTTGCCGTTTTGACGTCCGCAAAAGGTTGCGGTGAACATCAGAGACTGAGCTGACTGAGGAAGACGATCTCAAATCCTGGCACCACGACAACTACCAGGATTGGACTCCGAGGCTACTTGAGAGGCATTTAGTGGGCCCACTTGACAGCAGGCAGCTTATGTATGTTTATGTCCTACACACCAGAGTAGGGTTTCAGACGGCATGCTGTTGCAAAGTTGCCTTCGAGAGCTCACCAAGCATACCTTCCTGAATTTGAATGGGACGTTCTTTATGTATCAGCTTCCAGTCGGCATGGACCGATACTTGTTCCTGGAGAAGATGAACAACGATCGCAGGAAAGGCCTCTAAAATGCAATACATCTGAGTACTGAGGCCAACTGCCACCATTGGCCTGAGCCTGGGCCAGGCAACTGGTCTTAGCATGTGGCCTCGGGTCTAGGGGAGTCCAGGACACGCTTCGCGGGGGAGTTGTAGAGAGTAGCTGGACTTGGCTGGGGCTTGGATGAGTTGGAGTTGGAGCCTTGAAGTTGCACATAGTTGCACAGTGATTGAGCCAACATGAGCCAACTCATGCCAACCCCGAAATCTTACACAGCCAGGCCAGGCCGCTAGCCTTCCAGGACGCCCGGACGCAAGGAAGCTCAGCCGCAAGCTGAAGAGACCGATGCTGCGTCCACAGCTAGGCAGAATTGGAGGCTGTCATGCGCAAGGTCCGGCTATGTCCGGCTGGGGCAGTGCTCATCCTAGAAATTTGAAATCGAGACTAGCGGAACTAGCGCCTATCATGTTGTCGCAGTCCGAAGTGGAGCCAAGGAGAGCATCATGTACTGCAGCAGAATGGCGACATATTTGCCTTTGATGAGCCGCTTTGTCGAAAACAGCTAGCTGTGTTTCAGGCCCAGGCCAAGTGCACGGTAAGCCTCGCCTTGGTATACCGTAGTTGAGCAGTCGGCAAGTGCAAGAAGTCTTGGTTGGCCAATTCAATTGTTCAAGTATATTCAACCCTTCATGAAATTTCCAAGCAGAACGACATGTGCGAATACGTGCTTGCTGACCGTTCAAGCTCTCGAGTCTAGAGCTTGTAGAGCTTCGGCTTGCCAAGCAGACTTCCCGCATCTTTGAGGCCCTTCAATAACTTCTTCAAGCACTCGGTGCCCGTGGCGAAGCCTGCTCCAGGCTTTGGAAAGCGCATCTCCGTCATCCTCTTCGTGAATGAGCCACTGCCTTTGAAGCTGGGAGTGCTTGAGATGTCCGAAATCGAAAGTTGAGCTGTTGGGCTCAGTTTGGAATCGTGTAATTGGCACCGCAGTTGCTGCCCACAGTGACAATCGCCGCCGTGATGGTGGCAGATGTGGCAGCTTTCACACTTTGCTTTTACCTTGGCTTTGCCCGCTGCGTCCCAGGCTCGAGCATGTGCCGCGAACGCTCCGAGTGAGACTTGGCCGAGCTTGTGAAGTCCTCATGAGGACTGAGTCCAAAATCATTCCTACACTATCCTACACTCACCAGAACCTGCTTTACAGTGGGTAACGCCTGAAAACCCGGCTTTCACAAGAGAACCTGGTTTTCGGTAGGACGCTTTTCCACTAGGGTTTTTAGGGGTTCCGTACGGGATTTTGCCGGTTTCGTACGGTTTTAAGGTTTCGTAGATTTTTTTTTTTACGGGTTTCAGGCGGGCGACAAATTTGAAAATCCGGCTTGAAGGCCGGAAACCAGGTTTTTTGGACAAAACGCCTTAAAATCTGGTTCCTTGAGAATTACCTGCTTTAAAGCAGGTTCTGGAGGCTCCAGGTGTTGCTCATAATGTTGATTGACCAAGTGATATAGTGGTAGCAGAATGATGCGGTTGCGGAGCCCTGTCGCAGTATTGTCCTCAGGTTCATAGCTGGTACTGGCCTTCATGCCCTCCCACCGCAAAAGGTTCAGAATGCCGATGTTCGCTGCTTTGAACTCTGGCCGCGCTCAGGAAGCAGCCTGGCATGCGTGACAGCATTCCGCTAGACGTTTGCTGGGATGCTTGGGACACCTGCGGCTGCGGCAGCCTTGGCCGAAGGCGCACTTCATGTCGCAGCCACAGATCCATCCTTTCAGTGATCATGGGTGCTTTGATGCTGATTCCGGACTGGTTGCTCAACGCTGCACCTTCGTGAGGGCTCGGAGATTCAGCGAGGAGATCGAGATTGATGCGCCTCAGTCGCACTTATGCGGAAAGTGGTACCACTGCAGACAAGTTGCTGATAAGTCGGACCTTTTCGGTGATGGCTGTAGCTGAGTGTATGTGAACGGTTGTACTGCTGGCACAAAAGCGTGCACAGCAGAAGCCGCTTGAATGTGGAGTAGTTCCCACATGCGATGGCTTTGTGGACGGCCTACTCAACAAGGATAGCGTATAGTATAGTAGTATAGTAGCATATAGTAGCTGACTGATGGGTGACATGGCTTCTTTTTGCGTGGCAAGGCTGTAGAAAGAGCCTCGCCGTCAGAGACAAAACCAGGGGTCACTTTGCTTGTCTTGGCTCCGAGCAGAGGAGCCAAGCTTGAAGCAGCTGCTGCCACTCTTCGACCAGCTTGCAAAGGCTTAGCGGAAGGGTTGGGAAAGGAGTAGGAGAGCTGGGCATCAAGCTCCAGGCCTTTATCAAAAAAGCGTCTTTCATCTTGAGGTTTCTGAAGAGCTCAATGGAAAGCCCCACTGTACTGGCTTGGCGCAGCATCACTGACATCCCAACGCTTCAACAAGTTTAGGCGAGAGGGAAGAGAAGGGAAACCTATGGAGGCTCAGACCTTCTACAACCTGAAGAAGCCTGATCCGCAGCCGGCCAAGATGACTGGCGTTGAGAGGAGCTGTTGCAGACCGGTGGCAGTATGAGTGCATCTCGTGTTCCAACGTGACTAGGCAGAGGAAGGAGCTCATGCATGGACTCAGGCTTGTTTTCCTTGCCTATCTATCAAATGTGACAGCCCGGGTGTCAGAGCTTTGGATTTGGATGACAGCAGCTGTAAGTTCAAGAAGCTTTGCATCATGAAATCCACGCAGCTCTGCAGGAGCCAGGCCGACTATCCACAAGAACTGCAGCCGCGGTCGTTCTATTCGGCCATGCCAAGAAGTCGCTTGAAGATACGACATCTGATTATGATAGCCGAATGTCAATTCCAGAGACAGCTTTTGCGGACCTCACAGACTCTGGACGCTAAGCGCTGTAGGACAAGCAGAGGGGTTTATATTTGCCTTACCACCCATACTTCAACGCGCATGCTGCAAGCTGCCAAAAGTCAATGTCAATGTAAATTCCCAGAGATTTGTTGATTGGCATTCAGGCACCGTGCGCTGCATTGCGTTTAGAGAGTGCATGCCAAGGATGCGAAAACTCTGTTACGGACAAAGCTGCCGAACCTGCTGTCTTTGCCACCTTCGAGGAGTCGAATCAATCTGTGGCCAGACGCCCTTATGACCACAACGCCTACTCAGCACCTGCAGCCCTCGACATTCGTCCCGGCACCTCATCTGAGCATGGGTGAGAGTCAGCAGCAGCCTCTCATTATTATCTCTGTCCGAATTTCCTACCAATGGCATCCTCGCAAAGCGGCATCACTCAGGCATCTCGGCAGCTACGCCGTCTGCCTCCTCAGCCTCAAAGCAGCGTGCACGGGAGGTCTCGGCGAAAGATATCCCCCGTGATTGTGCATGTACTCGTACATTGAGGGTCATTGAATCTAGCCGATGCCTTCACCTCAATTTGATCCATAGGGTCTACTGGTAAGGTTCGGGACGTCCGGGCATGTTCAATCGAGGGTCGACTCGGTATCTCGCGGTGGGCCAGTTGGAAACCTGCAGGGCCTGGTTTGTCTGCGTCACGTCTGAGTGGCCACCAGAGCCATTGATCTGGCGCTACAGGATCCAGAGCTCCTGGGTTTCCGACAAGCGCTCACCCTACAGGCCATGGGGGGGGGGGGCAGGTCAGGAATGAGAGCTTCAAACTATGAGATTGCCATGGATGAGCTCTTAAGTTCAAGGCAGACGTCAGAGGGAACTTATCGTGGGGTTGGCAGGGTGTGGCCTCGCCCAGAATGAAGTCCCGGCGGACTTTGCAGTCACATGCATTTAGACGTGCCTTGAGCATAAACGTATCCTGAGTCATGCGATGGGATGTGTAGCTTTTGTCATGCAATGTCGTCCGTCGGGCGCACTTAAGCACAGGCATCATCCCAGGCATTTCACTGTATCTGTACTCACTTGCAGGCAGCTTACACATTTGCACAGACTTTTTTTTTGCACAGCTGTCAGGGCGCGCAGCAGGTCCTGGCCATCCTCAGGGGCCGCAAGCTGTCTCCTGGCTTGGTATCTGCCGTTCCTGGATCCCGGTCAATACATCAAGTGTCGACATACTGTTTTTGCTGACAAAGGATCGAGAATCGGTCATGGAGGAGCAACTGGGCGACCTAACCTATCTTCGTCAACCACCTGGGCATCATAGAGTTGAAGAGGGAGTCCTTGGGTGAGCTGTCCGTTTTGCATTTCACTGGCATGGACAGTCCAGCACTGCTGCTTTCGCGAAAAGAAGTCAAAACTCGGCTTTCATTTCCACTTCGCATGTCCCAAGTCTGGTGACAGGATCCCAGAAGGATGGTATGCTATTCATGCAGGCGCACAGCACATCAACGAGGACAGCCTGACACGCACGCATGTCAGCAGCGGGCGTTTGAAGCCGAGCTCCACCAGGACCGTGCTGCGCGAATCCGGGCTGTGTGGCCGGAGGCTCCACCCGAGGAACCTCGGGGGGTTGGGACAGCTTACTCGAGCCGTGTCCTGCGCTGTTGCTGTCGCATCTATCTTCCCGGCATGAAAGCTGAGTTCTGCAGCGTGACGCAGGGTGTGTGAATAACGAAGTGTGGCTCAGCAGGAATTCAGTCGCTTACAGAGTGGATATGCCGTATACAGCATAGACAGACTGTGCATCTCTCTTTAACCTGGCAAAGCGCACAATCTTTAGCATTCAGATTAGATCGGAGGAGGGCTAAGAGCGATTGCATGGTATCTGAAATAGTTTGGTTGCTTTGGGACGTGGCTAGCATCCGCCAAGCATCTGCCTGATTGTTTTGCGTCGCGTTCTGGTATTTGGCCGTGGCCTGTGCTGTGTCCAGTTACTTTGTATCCATCTTTTGAAGAGGAGTCGCTGCCACACAGTGCTATTTTGGGTTTCTTGGCTGCATGTGACAGAGGTTAAGGCAGGAGTGGTGCCAGAATAAAGGCACTGCAGGAACACACAGCAGGAATGAAAGCATGCAGAACAACAAGCGGAGTTCTAAAGGTGGGCCTTTGCATTGCGGTGCTGCTTCCCTGCTACGATGTTGTTTTGGCCAATTAGGTTGTTCATCCTTGCTTGCAGCTTTCAGCGCTGAGGCCTCTTCTGTGTGCACAGCCACACGACGCCTCAAGTGGCCTTGCTACATGCATCTCAAAGCTGCCTGCTGTGAGGATTTGGGTTCCCCCGACAAAGCTATAAACATGTTGCGACTTACGTGACTGGGACTGGCTTCTGTTCCGCTCTGCTCCTCTGTGGCGCCTATCGTATCGTGCAGAAGAACACTAGATAACTCACCTTTGAAGTCATGCGCTGATCATGCGGCCAAACAGCCAAGGGCTGTTTGCCTGGCTACGTGTGGGCCCGTGGCCCGCAGCCTGGCAGCAGCATGGAAGTGGCTGCATATGATTAGGCTTCTGGTTAGCATGCAGTCGCTTATCTAGGGCCGTGAGAGCAAGCCGGTCGTCACGCAGCAAGAAGCTGAGTATAGCTGAGTTGTGTCCTTTCATGATGGGGCACAGGTTGGGGACTCGACTGCAGATGCATGATTTCAGAAACAGGCGAGGGTTACGACGCTTCGCATTGCAAGAGCTCAACCACACGTGAGTAGTTACGCAAATTTACTACAGTAGAAGCCAAACCTGCAGGGATGGTTGCTGATCTTGTGCAACGACATTTGCTTCAGTTTGACATGTTTATGTAGTGCTCTAGATTGGGCGCTGAACGTATGGGGGGGATTCTGCTAGCTGAGGATCTGCCACGTGATTTCTAAGTCGGTTGAGCTGCTACGGCCCGTCCACTGTCGCGGGGGCAAGGGTCTTTGGGACCTGGAGGCCAGGCGGCTGGTCTGATGATGTTGGCGGGCGTTTTGTCCCACGGGGATGTGGTATAGTAGTGTCTGGCTGTGACAAGCAAAGCCTCAGAAACATGGGTGGCCACGCAGGCCGGACCTCCAAAGTTACCAGAAGCCTCCAAACCGATGTGCGTCAACGGCATCGGTGGGTCAACATGTGTGTATACATACAATTATATACATATAATGCCATTATATTATAACACATGCGGGCTCTCTGAGAGCGGCATGGCTAGGTGTAGGCCGGTCTTAGAATTCCATTCAGCTTCAACCAGGTTATGGTTGGGCGCCAACTTGTCCTGCACACATTCTATTGCAAGGTGTGGCAGATACAGCAGATCCAGCAGCAGTTCACGGAGATCAATATTCGTGTGCATGACCTGTCCGAGGCCGAACTTCCATGCGTGTCGGGGTGCTTCTCAAACAGCTAAAGTAGCAGCGAAAGACAACAGTGGATCCTGAATCTAGATCCGCCACGAGTTCGCAGAGCCTTGTGCTGTATGTGACTTGGCAAGATGCAGAACACCCAGAGTGTGAGCACCTCGCAACACGCGTGCCGGAGGTCCTGCCGCTGGGATCTTTCTGATCGGCGACGGATGCGAACCCCGCGGAAAACAGAGCCAGCCACGGGAACCATGCAAAGGATCTACTTTGGAATGTACAAGCCATGCCTGGACATGACCTGGGGCCAAAGATGGAAGCAGATCCACACATTTTTGCAGTCGATGTCGCTGTGCACAGAACATGCTGCAGGGCCTACTGCAGAGGCAGCGCCCACGTTGGACACGTTCGACCCTAAGAAAGAACTAGGCGCAGTGCTGGATATTGGGTCCACCCTGCATAGACTGCGTGCCTGGCTGGTGTGCCTGATCGCCCAGCCAGGCCGAGGTCTGAAGGTGATGTTCCGGACGCTGGCAGCTCAGGGGCTTCGAGAAAGAAGTAGTTGCCAGCATTTGGCTTATCATGCTTGCGAGGAGGGCACACATCCCTTGCCAAACCAGTGGGCAGCTCAGCCGACCGGAGTGTCCCAGCCAACTGCTTCGCTCATGGCTTGAGGATTAAGTAGCTACAGCAGTCTTGCAGAGAAGAAGACGTGGCGGTCTTCTTCAAGAACCCTCAACAGCAACTCATCTCCTTTGACTCCTGAGTCCAAGCATTGGAGAGGTCTTCCATGGGTCTGACGCGGCCAGCACTGCAGAGCGAGTCGAAGTGGAAATCCGAGGCTTCGGGTCATATTGGGCCATGTGATTTTAAGCAGTTCAGGAAATCAAGGAGAGAAAGCTGCAGGACATGCCCTCGGGTCACCATGGATGTTGCTATGCATTAGACAAGCACGCGCTGAGTAGAACTGCTTCTGCCGAGCTTGTAGATTTGGTGTGGGAGAATGGGAGAAGCGCGTTTCCAAGCAGTTTTAGGCTACGCTTGCAGCCCGCAGCTCACAAAAAGGTTTTGAAGAAAACTACCTAATCGGCTCTAGCTGTATTTCTTCACGAACACCCTTCAATAAGGCTTGGGGATCCCGCTGGACTGGGCTCGTACTTCAGAAAATCCCCGTGGGTGCCCACTTTGAGAAGTCCCTGTTGCCATCTCCATGCTCTGCGTCAGTTACTCATTCTCTTGGCAAAAAGCCTTGGAACAACAGGTGCGGGTGAGCTCAAGCGCTGCGCAGCCAACTCAGGGCAAGCCTGCGCGCCAGACGCCTAGGAAGCATGCCTTAGGATGGTAGCATTCGACTTCCCAATATCAGGCTGATATTCAGTCCACGTTCAACTTCTTGTGATGTGGGACATTGAGCACGGATACGATGCTGTGGGCGGCAGAATATGTGTTGAAACGTGATGACGACAATGACGGGGACAATGTCATATTGAGCATTCAGACTCAAATTCTGGAAATGCAGCAACAAGTTGAATACCTCACCAGGGTAAGTATACATATGTGCAGTTCAGCCGTGAGCCTTGCCATACCCTGGCACTTCGCCTCTCAGAAAACAGTGAAGGATGGTCTTAAAAAGGTAACAAAAAACGAAAGCCTGGCAGTGGGGAGGCTCGGCAAGGCTAATGGTGGGACGACTGACTGCCAACTGCCGTAAGGATGCGCCTGACATGTTTGCTGCATATTCTGGAGGTACGAGTAGGGTCCCCGCTGCAAAAAAGTACAACTACACTCACAACCCCACACATTCACAATCTGATGCATTCTAGCATTCTTTCCTTGCCCGCTCATGACTTTGCGCAGCTCCAGGTGCCCGACGCTCCTTCCCATGTTTTTGCGCCAGCGTGCGTACGCGGGACTAATAGCGGACAAAAGGACGAGCTCGACTTGAGAAGCACTTTTTCTTCAACGCCTCTGCACTTAAGACATGTCGATGTCGGCACCTTTGCCTGCACTTTGGCGTGCACCTGCTTATAGCCGCAACAGCTGTTGCGCAAGAAATGCCCACCGCACATGATAAGCGCTAGACCTTCAGCCAAATTGCTCGGTCCCTGTTGTACTGAAACATAGTGCATTGAAGCAGCGATGTTAGGGACGGGCAGGCGGTAGATCATCGAAATTTGGCAAAATTGCTTGGTTGTTGAAGGCCGTCCGCCACAGCAAGCCCCCTACAAGCTAGCACAAACTGCCCTATCCGATTGCCGCCAGCCATGGCGTATGGCAAGACCTTTGGCACTGATCCCCGCGTTTTCGATGGCTTGGGCGCTGAGTGGGAAGGGCTACACCAGCCTGCTGCGGCTCTGAGCCAGAGAGGGATAGAGAAAGCAATTCGAGCCTACAACTACTACAGTCTATATCAAGCATAATCACGAACCGCAGAGCAGCCATGAACAGGTCCACCGGCCAAGCCAGAATGACTAGAGTCTGACCAGAGCTAGGTTCCACCATCTGAGATCGTCTCCTGGCACAATACCCTTGAACTCAGGAGCGTTCAGAATCCTAATTCTACTGACAGAAATGGGCCGTCCGACGGTTGGCGTTTTTGTAGAAGGTACTGGTAAGTGAGTGTTGTGCAAGTAGCACGAACTTGCGTCCTGAGAGCAACTCTGAGAGAGTGTGCATTCTGGCAACACCAAGGACATCACTGTCATTTCCCGTTCAACTTTGGACTGCGAGCGCCCGTCAGAACGACGAGAGCGACTGAACTTAGCGGCAGCAAGAAGGGAGGACACCGGCTCGAGATGTTGTGTGCAATGAATAGTCATGAGTGTTACAGCAAGGCACGCAAAGACATCGATGGGTTATAGACCATCGTGCAGCATAGTTGCTGGTACAGAGGTACAATCTAGGTCGGGTCGAGAGGGCTGGCATTACGTCATTGAAATCCAGAGGCTATGGGCTTATGCCATATATGCAAGGAAACCAAGCTGCTCTTCTGCATCACACGCCAATGGCATGAAAGTGCCATTTTGGGCCTCGCTTCGTGTAGTGCAGCTGCTTAGTCAGACTGCACTGTGTGCAGCAGTGTTGCAGCGATTGCTAGACATGCCCCAGAATAGAAAGAGTTCAGGAGCTGCGCCAGCAGCGAGCTGCACAGCAGGTACAAGATGTGTTGGCAGACCGATTTCATCAAAGGCGCCTGTCCAGCAGTGTTTTCAGAGCTCGTATATCTCTTGTAATTCCATCTACGTTTTTTTTTGAAGGCACCCTTGCAGGTGACCGTTGGCGCTCTGCGGGGATTCTATGGGGACAACCTATGTGTACGCCGTAGACAAGGAATGTATACGAAATGCATAGGGCAGTGGATTGCGGGTCCCGTCTAGAATCCCTCTTTTTTGCCTGTGATAGAAAAGTTGGCTCCTGGGTTGCCCTGGACTTGCAGGTTAACACAGCCGGCCTAGGAAGGGGCTTGTAGTAGGGAGTGGAGAAAACAATGGAAACTACAATGTTGCTTAGGGTTTAAGTCTAACCTTGCCAAACTGCACCACAAGCTGACCTGCGGTGCTCTCCCAACCAGCTAATACAACCAGTTTCGGGATCAAAGATTTCAGTCATGTCTTGCGTCGCTCTCTTCAAGAACTTGCAAAAAGCCCCTGCTCATTTCTGAATTGTGTTTGGCAAGATGGAGGCAACCACTGGCACTGATACCTATGATGCACTCAGTAAATGAGCGTGAGCATCAAGGCTAGTTTCACATGATTTCCTTGTGCACTGGTTGTTTGGACATTATTGGAGATATAGAAGGGCACTGTTCCGGGCAATGCATCTTTGTTGCTATGGCATAGTGTGCATTTTTGAGGCCTGGGCTAGTCAACAAGAACCTGAGTTGGTCCTGCTGGGTTTTGTGGTAGGTGGCCGCCAACGTACTCCATGCTGACTTTGAAGACCTTTTCCCTCCTGTTGTGTGGCTGCGCCAGATCCTTTTCGTGGCTCTTCAAAACCTTCATGTACTGCTCCACTAACAATTACTCGCTTCCCCCTAATATTAAACGACGTCCCCCCCCTCCAATACTGAACAATCCGGGCCCCGAGAATTTTTTGATATTAGGGGGTGATATGTATTGAAGGAATCAGGTAGGGCGGCCTTTAAATTCCGTTTAAATTCAATGGAGAATGAAGAATTAGTCAAATCGATCAATGAAATGGAAAAATTAGTTACATACTTATTGAATTTGAATTAAGATACACTTAACATCAGTTGAAATCTAATTAAGATTCCTCTCAACATCAACTGAAATCGAATTAAAATCCTGAATTGAAATCTGACTTAAGTTCCTTTTTAAATCAACTGAAGTCGAATTAAAAAAAAAAAAACATTGAAAACGATTGAAATTTGATTGTAATTCTATAAAAAGAAATTGAAATCGAATGAAGCACATTCAAAAATGAATTGAAATCTAAGTTACATTCCTTTTAAAATCAAGTGAAATGGAATCAAGATGTTTGCAAACCGAATTGAAATGTCATTTAGATTCCTGTTGAAATCAGCTGAAATCAAATGCAAAAGTCCATTTGGAATCACTTGAAAATTCACCAAAATTCCATCAAGAATCAATCGAACTCGAAATAGATTCGAGTTAAACATCCATTACAACCTAATTAGATTCCATTTAAAATCAATTGAAATAGAATTAAGATTCTATTAAAACCAATGGAAATGGAATGAAACTCAATTGAGATTTACTTAAATACGGCTAAAAAGGTAATAAAATCAATTAGCATCGCATTCAGTTCCTGTAACTATACCAAATCTTTTTTCAACCATATGAAAAAGTCAAAACCTACAAAATGAAGGGGATCCCTAATTCCTTTGTATTTCTGCTTATACCTTCTAACAACCTCAAAACCCCCCTCTAATTCATATTAGGTCCCCCCTTTGAAAGTAGTCTTCTGGATTTTCATGCCCCTGAATGTATTATTTATAGGGGGAAGGGATTACTTTGGTTGCAGCGCAGAGTCCTCACCAGAGTTTGCCTTTTGACTTAGAGATGCTTGTTCGCTGTCTTTCTGTGCACAGCAACAAACTCCGTTTAGGCATGCCTTGCTACGACACACGGACATGTGCGGCATTACTGTGTTTAGGTTAGGGCCGGAGACTATGGCAAGAGCTTTTGGCGGCAGCAGGAGCAAGACAGTAGCTTTGTTTGATTTTGTTTGCTTGCAATTGTGGTGTCAGTAGCAGCAGTAGTAGTAGTAGTATTAGTAGTAGTAGTAGTAGTAGTAATAGTAGTTCAAGTAGTAGTCGTCGTCATCGTCGTCGTAGTCGTAGTAATAGTAGTAGTAGTAGCGGCAGCAGAGGCAGCAGTTGGAGAAGGAGTCGTGGTAGAAGAGTCAGTTACCGGCGTGATTTTTTTTGGAGGCCCTTGGCCAATTCCAACGCAGCTGCCGCCCAGCCAGTGCCGAGCTGGCGCAAGGCGCAGGACCTGAAGCTCCTAGCAAAGAGGGGATGGTGATCCTTGCTTGGGGTGAATATGAGTATGGGGCTCTTACATACCGTCATGGAATTCCACATGCTCCCAATTTAGAATTTTAAGTTATAGCCGTATGGATAGTCTCAGACTCGGGGATAGCAGGACCCTGACATGTATATAAAAAGGTTCACATGTTGCCGAGTCCAGGTTCAGAAAACAGTGAGTGAAGTGGTCCTGGAAGGCCCATGGATAGGGCCAAGGAGAAGCAAGGAAAAAACAAAGTGCTTCTGTTGTCAAGACTTCTCCTTACTTTTTCACAGCTAGGCAGGTTCCAAAATGAAAATTGATCGGGTTCCCCTGTTATTGCAAGGCTTCCAAGAAGAAATCATTGCATTTTGGATGGATCTTGCTTGAAAAGCTTGCGTGCCGCAGACGGAGACGATGCATGAACCGGGGCGGGGCGTGTGCCTACTTTGTTTGGAGATCCTGCCAGCCAGGACTCCGAGCGGGGCCAACAAACAAATGCCAGGCGCGGCTCCCGTGAAAGCCTTGCACACTGTATCGCTCAACTTGGACATGGCTGTCGGCAGGCCAAGTTGGGCTGTGCCAAAGCCTTCAATGCGGATGCCGCGCTCCATGCAGGTGCTTCCTGCTGGCCAGGCATGGCACCGCATGAATTTCTGTGACACTGGACGGCTCAAATGCTTGGGTCATGTGTAAGCGTGATAGGCCATGACGTTTGAGAAGCTTCGGATGTCGCCCCAAGCCAACACTGCTGCCGACCTATCTCCACCACTCTGAAATCGGTGCCCCGCTTTGCTGCCTCCCACGAAAAGTGGCTCTAAACAGCCAGCACAGGTCAACGCCGCGCCATGGACCATGCCCCGTCCCATGCCGCATCCAATGCAAAGTGGCTAGGCAGCATGACAGCAGTCTTCGGGCACAACTTCTCCAGGACCATTCATCTAGTTTCACATCGATCTACGCAACCAATACGCTTGCTGCTGGGGAGCAGGGCTTCTACAGCTGGATCACGAAACGAGATGGCCAGTTTTGCACTTGACCTTCAGCGGCCTCGCTGGTTTGAATGTTGCTCGTCATCCCAGAGGATGGTCTTAATTTAGGTCTCAATAGAGATCCAAAGCCAAGGCCGAGGAGTGGCTGCATCCACTCCGACGCCGACCCCATGGCCAAGGGAGCCTGCAGAAGAAGCGCCAACCCTGTTAGCGCAGGAAGCACTGCTTGCTGTTCACATGAGTGCGTTGGTCTGCTACTTTTAAAATTTAGCCGAGTAGAAGAACATATCAGTGGCGTGCAAATTGTCTGACACGGTTACAACGAGCACAGATATTGGTAATTTTTAGACGGCAGACGCGGTCATATCAGCAGCATGGGAAATCCCAACAGCGGAAGAGCGCTACTCACACACCTCTCACGCAATAGCCTGCTTT